GATGATATTCTTCAGTCAATTGTATATAATTTATAGAATATATATATATACATAAAACATATTCCAGTACATTTTATGACACATGATATAAATTTAGTAATTTTCGAAATTTGTGGCATACATGAATGGATGAATACGCATTTAAAGAAATGCTTTTTTGGATAGAATAAATCTAAATAAATAACTTGTACAAACTTAGATTTGTAAATAAGTAAATCTGATAATGATAAATTAAAAAATCATATGATTAAATTTCATTGTTAAAGGTCTCTCTTTGTATTTGCTTTATAATATATATATATATATATATATATATATATAAGAAATGTCATATATCAATGATGGGGGAATATAAACAGCGTAAGTTCATAAAACTACATCTTAAATCAGCGTTATACAAATTTTAAAATACGTTTATTTCATCAAATTGTATTACTAAACGCTCATGAACTAATTTGTGGTCAATGGTAAACACTTGTGGGGTCCAGTTCTAAACTGACACCACCGTATTATAAGAACTGTAGGATTAAAGTCAAGGAAAATGTAAATATAATAACCACATGTTAACTATCGAAAATGTTTATCCTGACTTTTTAGAGACAACTATATATACAGTTTCAAATTATAATTATACTTTTCATATATTATTTTTAATTTGATTTTATAAACATGATATCAATTCGAATTATATTTAATAATGACAAATTTTATATTTAAACTATTTATTTTGTACAAATAATTTGATTTTATTAAATTTTTTATAATATCAAATTTTAATTTAAAATTTTTGGGTAATATTTTGGATTCAATTTCGATTCAATTCGGGTGTAATTGGGTTGTTTTTTAATTTAAAAAAATATGATTATTCGTTTTTTATATTTAATTTGGTCTGATTTCAATTTGTATTTGGTTTAGATTTTTTTTTTTTTTTTTTTTACAGAATCATATTTATACGGTTTTGATTCGAAAAGGATTATACCTTATTCGATTTGATCGTTTGATTATTAACCTAAAAATTATATCCAATTAAAAAATAAACAAAAGTTCCAATAATTGAATTTTGTATGGATTATATTAATTATTAAAAATAAAAAAAATATATATGCATTGTTACCACCTCACACATATAATGTTCTGTCTCGATCAAATGACCACTCGTCTACATTTGATTTTCATCTGATATTACTTTCATCATAAAAGGATTATGAATTAATCAATATATATATGAATATACGTAATTTGGCAGCACAGTGACGTTTCAGTGTTTTCCATTATTAGCCACCGTTAATATATGTAATTTGGTCGTAATTTAAGAGTGACTTTTAATATTTATTTCTCTATTTATTTCTTATAATAAAACATGATAAATCATATATCTACATTGTTTTAAAATTGTGACAACTGAAACACGTATATTAATCTTTTAAGATAGGACAAAACCCTCTTCTGGACATGGTGTAATCTCTATTATTTTTAATTCTAATAAAAAATATATATATATATAATGAGCAGCATACATTTTTATTTTATCTGCTAAAAACTAAAACCAGATCTAGATCCGGAACTAATAATATATATAATTTGATATCAAATATGTTATACTAGAATATAATTGTATGAACCGATTAACCATTTAGTGTTGTGTTGGAAAAAAGTAAAATATAATTGTTATACTATAATATAATTGGAACAATCTTTGAAACCATTCCTTAATCTCGTCGTGCGTTGATTCAGGGACGAACGATAATTAATTTGAATTTACAATCCTTAAAGGTTGCGGTCGATTAGAACAATTCGTGATTAATTAAAATATATATATATATATATTAGTTAAATATATGTATATATAGAGAGAGAGGGTAATTGACAAAAATAAAGTCGTCACTGCTCACGTGGTGCGTTTTTATTTCTTATCAAATTTGTCCTCTTCTATTCCCTTTTTAGCCTCCTCGTGTGATTCCACATCTACGTGGCAGTTAATTTTTCCACTCACTTTCTAAAAGATTACTTTTTTTTTTCCAATATTAATTTCCACTACTACTTTAAAATGCTACCAATAATATTAATGTCCATTCAGCTTTCTAAAAAAAACTTTGGTGGCAAATATATGAGTAATTTCTTTACCAATAAATTTTTTTACACTAGTAAATAGCGTTCATTTAAATTTTTTTTATTGATAATCAGGATGATTTCTCGATCATTCGACCCGATTACATCCACCCTAAATCTGGAACCACCAGTCTTTATATACGAATCATTTTAGTTCAGAAATTACATCTCTCCCAACCAATGGAATCGATTCATTTAAATTTATATATTCAAGTTAATCCATATTCGTCTCTAAATCAACCAACGAAATGATTAAACACTAATTTCAAAGATTATTCGATTCGAAAACCATATACACCTTTGATGTTACTTTCACCTTCTTTTAGAATATAGTTTTAAAGGAGAAAAGGTGGGAAAAAAAGGATTAATAATAGGAAAAAAAGAAAGAAAGAAAGACAATGCATGGGACCAAACAAAAAGGCCAAAAATTATTGTAAATGGAGACGAATCATTCCGACGTCGTTTTCTCGAGAATGGAAATGCAAAATTGTTTGTGATTGAGGTCCATACAAGAAATCAACTAAACAAAGATTCGTTTTGACTTGTGTCTGCTGTTTGTTTGTTTGTTCCGCAACTTCGTCACCTACCACGTCACCTTCTACGCTTCCAAATGGCAGTCCATTGTCTTGGACGATGGATGTATGTATGTATGTATGTATGTATGTATGTATGTATGTATGTATGTATGTATGTATGTATGTATGTATGTATGTATGTATGCATGTATGTTACATATCTGGATTTATTTTGGGCTTTTGGTTAGAGCATGATAAATTGAGAATGAATGGGTCGACCAATATTATTGGTCCAATACTTGGGAAATAGGCCCATTGAAGGCCCATGTTGGAGGATGACCGAAAGTACAGATTTCAAGGCGCGTGTGATATACGCGTACGTTGTTACGTGGACGCATGAGAACATGTATACAACGTTTACAGCGTGCGTGTGTTGTATTGTATATATATATTTATAAAGACTTTAACTTGAAAGCCAGCCGGTTTATGATTTAAACACCAACCATAACCTAATTCGCTCTCAGCCAATCCATCATTTATATAAAATATTGAACAGCTTGTAAAGGTCCCCCGAAAAAAAAAACGCGAATGATACGCTGCATACCCAAATCATGTCGTATAATATATATATATATATATATATATATATATATATGTGTATAATAAACATGTAGTAATATAATTGTTTATAGTAAAACTAGTTGAATATTTACGAATATTAATTTCTAAAAAATATTATTCGGATTTGAATTTAAATTCGTATGTATTCGAGCATTCGGATATCTATGAATCGAGTATCTAGACATACAGCTTGTAAAGCTCCCCCGAAAAAAAAAACGAATGATACGCTGCATACCCAAATCATGTCGTATAATATATATATATATATATGTATAATAAACATGTAGTAATATAATTGTTTATAGTAAAACTAGTTGAATATTTGCGAATATTAATTTTTAAAAAATATTATTCGGATTTGAATTTGAATTCGTATGTATTCGAGCATTCGGATTTAAATGAAAGTGTATGAGCTCTAACATCGAATATCTATCTATGAATCGAGTATCTAGACATACATGATTTTTGGATAATTTTATTCTGTCCTAGTAGATATATAAAATGGAATTACAAATTACTTTCCTTATATACATCGTTATATTACGATTACACAATTACGTGATTAATTTTGTTTCCAATTTGAGATAAAAGACCAACAAAATATTTGTTTCCAAAAGATAACTAAAACATTCGTTAGAAAAGCGTTGTATATTTAGTAATATAATAGCGTGGCATACAAAATATTTAAGTGGATAAAACAATTTTATTGTCAAGGAAACTGCATTAATATAAATGTTTCCCCGTAGGATTTTTCATGTAATTTTCCCTGGGACTTTTACAAACATGATTAACCTTTAGATTAGGTGCAAGATAAGACGACTATAGATGACATAATAAAATTGATAATTATGATTATCTGTTACATAGGGAGTATAAATCGATTTTATATTAAAGTTATGGACAATAAGATGCAATAAAATAAAATTTAATATTAGTTTCCCTCGTTTGTGCCTGCCGCCATCCTTTATTGGCCTCACATGCAACGTCTCCATGCAGTTCCATAAAATATTAACAAAAGGTGACAACTTTACGTCAATCATTGTAAGATGCTTGCAAACCATGTGATGTTGCATTTTCTCGCACACACACACACAAGATATTGTTAAAATACATTATATAATAAATATATGCAATAATACAGTATTTGTATGTATTAATATATGTGCGTTTGTCTACATGTAAACTTCATACACACATATATTACTTAAATTGCACAAGAGATCCTCACGGACCTCCATGGGTTTGGGATTTACCCCATATATTTCAATCGAATTAAATATACTTTTTAATTCTATTAATTTCCAATCTTTCTATATATGATGTTGAATCCCTAAAGAAAATTATCTTCAACATTTCCACTCACATCACCCAATATATATATATATATATATATATATACACTATGTTAAGAGATTTTGCAATGAGAAATTTAGAATGGCACATAAACAAACTGGAGAGAAAGGTTAAGAAGAGGGCTTATATATAGAAGATTATTAATGAATTATGATCATTTATCGAAAATTAATTGCTCATTTTCAGAGTAGAAAAAAAAAATAGTTGGGGAAGGAATTGCACAAGCTGTAAATTACGGGGCTTTTACGGTATTTGCAAAAAGTATCGGTTTCTAATAAATTACAAAATCATCTTCCGTAATTATCACACTGTCACCATCACGACCCCAAAACTATTTGCATTTTATTATAAATAACCCTAAACTTCGAACAAAAGCTTTTACAAAAACTCTGGAAACCGATTTGATGTTTACTTATAAACTTGTAGTCTCTGTCTCTTCACTTCTCCATCCAAATCGAATTTCGACTATGGGAATCTGCGTATGTATCGTAAGTCTTTTTCCTTTTGTTCAATTTTCAGTTGAATGATCTGTTTGGTTGACGAGAAAATTGAAGAGAAAACGAAAATCTAATCCATACCCAGTTTTTATTTTAATTAATTTAACATATCTTGAACTCAAAAATTATATTATGATTAATGTTTTATGCAGATGTAAAAATCACATCACATCAAGAAAAAACGCCAAGCTGAAAACGATGAACTCAAGCCTTTTCGTCTTCTCGGCAACTTTCATCATCTCCGTATCTTCCGTGCTGCTTTCTCCGGTGACCGGAGATCTCGCCGGCGACAGACAAGCCCTGCTGGATTTCCTCAACAACATAACTCACTCGCGGTCTCTGGTCTGGAACGCGACCACACCGGTCTGCGCCACGTGGCAAGGCGTCGTCTGCGACAGAGATGGGTCACGTGTCGTCGAGGTTCGCTTGCCTGGTGCGAGGCTCATCGGTTCCCCCCCTCCGGACACTCTCAGCCGTCTATCCGAGCTTCGGATCCTCAGCCTCAGATCCAACGGTCTACAAGGGCCCTTCCCAACAGATTTCTTGCGTCTCAAGAAACTCAACGGCCTTTACCTCAAGAGCAATAGGCTCTCCGGCCCTCTGCCGTCCGATTACTCTATGTGGCAGAATCTAACGGCTCTCGATCTATCGAATAACCGATTTAACGGCACAATCCCCCTCGGTTTAGCCAATCTTTCAAGTCTAGTGTCGCTCAACTTGGCAAACAACTTGCTGTCTGGTCAGATTCCGGACATGAATCTCCCAAATCTGCGGGAACTTAACTTGTCAAACAACAATCTCTCTGGAACTATCCCCAAATCTCTCCAAAGATTTGGGAACTCGGCGTTCTCCGGCAACAACTTGATTTACGAAAATGCCCCAGCCCCGGCCCCTCCACCCGGGAATTCGCCTACAGAGCAGGAGAAGCAAAAACATGGCATCAGTCTGACGAAACCTGAAATCCTCGGGATAGCCATAGGGGGTTGCTTCATGATATTCGTCCTTGGGGCCATCCTGATGATCATTTGCTACACGAAAATTAAGAGAAGCCGAGAAGGGGATAAAGGGAAGGTGGATACCAATGCCAAAGCTAAGGCTTCTGCCAAGGCAAAGGAGAAGCCGCCGAGTCAAAAGGAAGTCTCTAAAAGCCGGGGAGAGGATCTAGAAGATCTGTACGAGGATAACAGAAACAGAGTTGTGTTCTTCGAAGGATGCAATCTCGTGTTCAACCTGGAAGACTTGCTAGGAGCGTCAGCGGAGCTCCTTGGCAAGGGAACTTTCGGGGTGACTTATAGAGCCGTCCTCGAAGATTCGAAGGTTGTTGTGGTGAAACGGTTGAAGGAAGTTGTGGTCTTGAAGAAGGAATACAAACAGCAGATGGAGGCTGTCGGAAATATCAAACATGAGAACGTTGCTCCGTTGAGGGCTTTTGTCTGCTCAGCCGACGAGAAGCTTCTGGTTTTCGATTTCTACCAAATGGGAAGTCTTTCTTCCCTTCTTCACGGTACGTACGGGTTTTTACAATATCTTAGGTTTTCTTTGAAGTTGGGATTATAAGACCAATCAAATGTGATTGAGATCGTTTCAAGCAGGTAAGAAAGGCGACCAGACAAAAAGTCCATTGGATTGGCAAACGAGGATGAGGTTCATGATCGGAGTGGCCAAAGGACTTGCACACATTCACACTGACCACGAGCTCGTACACGGAAACATCAAATCCTCGAACGTCTTCATGAACTCCAATGGGTACGGATGCATATCCGAGATCGGTTTAGCCACGTTAACAAACCCGGTTCACCCGGTTATGGCAAGATCGGCCTATTACCGTGCTCCAGAAGTAACCGACACCAGGAAATCCACGCTGGAATCGGACGTTTACAGCTTCGGAGTGTTGATACTGGAGATCCTGACGGGGAAATCGACGAGCGTTCGTGCGAGGGAGGGAGACGAGGAAGAGATTCATCTGCTGAAATGGGTGAATATGGTGGTGAACGAGCAGTGGACGGGTGAAGTGTTTGACTCGGAGCTTTTGAAGACGGATAGCGTTGAACCGAAGCTTATTCAAGTGTTGGAATTAGGGCTGAGTTGTGCGGCTAGGACACCTGGCAAGAGACCAAAGATGTCCAAAGTGGCGGAGACTTTGGAAGATATCGAGAGAAATTAGATTTAAAAAAAAAACAAAACTTTTTTTATTATTATTTCTGATCATAACAGTTCCAATAAACCTTATATCCAATTGTATTCGATTCGAGTTTTTTGAATAATATATATATGCATCATTTGTTGCTGGAAAGAAAGAAATGCATAAAAAAATAAAAATGATTTGGTTTTGGAACAAATGGGAATTTGTAATTATTAACGAAATCATAATAATGTTGACCAATGGGAAAAGGTCAAAGTGGAACACAAACTGGCAAACAGCCTGTCTACTTGCCTACTTGCCTACCTACCTGTGTTGCCAAACACAGCTTAAGTACGAGATTGTGACGTCACGAATCCGCAAATTTAGAAATTATTAAACACTTGTCTAATAAAAGCATCAACCCTTTCATCACCGATCACATGCACATGCTATTATATTTATGTATTACTGGCATATTTAAATTCCCAAAATTATTAATACGTTTTCTAACAATGATAACCATTGATTTTCGATTTTTTTTAAAGCCGGAAAACTATTATTTTCCATTTAATTGGTATCTCTCGTCCAATAATTATCCGACAAATGCGGTTCTTCTGTAAATATTTTTTAATTAAAAATAACCCATAAAATCAATTCATATATTTTTTTTCATTTGCCTTTTTAAAAAAAAATACCGTGTAGTTATAAAAACGCACGAGAACTCTTCAATCAGAATTCAGGAACCATTGTCTCTTCTCTCTGCCCCGCTTGAATTTCCCTTTCTCTTCTATTCTCTTCTTTCCTCTCCAAATTCTTTGTGAAAAACAAAGAATTTAGGGAGGAAAGAATTTATAAATAAATTAATTTGTTTTCATAAATCTTTTTTTTTTTTTAAAAAGAAAAGAAAGAAGAAAGAGAAAAAGAAAACAGATATGCCGATTTCAAAGATTTCATTCGAAGTTTTTGCCATCGCATCAATAATTTTCACCATCTTGTTGCCTATGGTGCGTGGTCAACCCGTTGCTCCCGCTCCGGCTCCCACGAGCGATGGTAAGCGATATGGTTATATATATATATATATATATATGTATGTATGTATGTATGTATGTTCTGATGGTAAAAAAAGGTTATTTGGATGCTTAAAACAATATAAATTACACTAAATTTTCATATACAGATTTGGAATATCATGAAGCTGAATGTTATAGTGTATATATAATATATACAATCATCAAAATAATTTTTTGAGTGCTGAGTTTATTATCGGGGCAAAAATTTTGCAGGAACAACGATAGACCAAGGCATTGCATATGTTCTCATGTTGGTGGCGTTGGTTCTCACTTATCTCATCCATTGATCCGTTTCCGAGTTTTACATTTAATGTTGCTCTCTAACGATTTCTTTCTTCGCTTTGATATTGTAAATGGAGATCAATAAATCATTATATATGGTAGAAAAATGAAGAGGCTTTCCTAAATTTTTTTCCAAGGGCGCCATATTACTGATATATGTTTCCATTATATATATAAAAAAAGGACTACCATTAATAGCTTATAACATAGCATATGCTAAAGTGTTATTCAGACGGAAACTCATATGACAATACATTATCATACTTATTGAATAAGATTTTGCTTATGTAATAACGGAAAACAAAACTTGTGCTACGAAAATATAGAAATTGCGTTTACGGACATTACCGACGTAAGATATAATGCATCGATATAATGTAAGTAACGGTCCTTAGGAGAAGAACCCTCCAAATCTTCCGAACGAAAAATTCGGATCGAACGCTGCGTTTCCGTAAGGAGAATCAAAACCGGCCGTGGGAGAGTTCGACGTCGAAGGAGAAGCCGATATGATATCATGAAACTCGTTCATGCCACCATGAGGCATCGAGAAATTGTAATCCCCCCCATGATTAGAATAACCATTTCCATATAGTCCACTGTTGTCGGTCGCGTGAACGAAGTGATACGCGTTGCTGTCCCCGGCCGGATTAGGGTTAGTAGACGAAGGGAAATGAAGGAGTTGGCGATGCTGCTGATTGCCGTGATGATCAATCTCTAGACCTTCGGTCACAACACGAAGGTTTCCTCGGAGATTATCGAGTTCTTGAGAGGTAGGGTTCGGTTCTTGATCTTGGACCGATGGATCTATTGGAAACGTTGATGAACTGCCAACGTTGTTTGCGGCTTGAGAGCAAGTATGTGTGCCTCTGTAAGTAACGTCGAACAGCATCGTATCATCGTCGGATCTTTGGACCTGTTTGGTCGCAAGACATCCCTGGGAATGTCTATGTGTGCATCTATAGTACCCTCTGTGACAAGAAACAAGCTACGTCATAAAAAAAATGGAGTCTTGATTACAATACGTGCATAGATACATATATATATATATATGTGTGTGTAAATTCATGTGGGTCAGGTTTTTTTTTTGCGCTAGATTGGAATGGGCCACTCGGGTCAGACCGGCCTAATTCGGTGAATTTACTAAACTGACCTTGGGAATTTGGCTCCAAGAATATCTTTCTGACCATATTTCCTCCAACTGAATCCGTCGTCCAGTGTTGTATCAATTCCAGCTCCAGGGGTAATTCTGACTTTGTGCTTCCACCTCGGCATCGCCTTCTTCGACCTTCAGTTTCAGTCACATGAAGAAAAAAAATTTATAACGCCACAAGATGATATAAAAAGTGGTCATTTTTATTTGTCAAAGAAACGAAGTATATACGAAATTATTAGTCATTCTGCATTAATGGAAACATTTACAAAGAAATCTATACGTATATATATTTTTTTCTGTTGGGGACATTCGTTAGGATTGGAACATATCCCTCAAGTGTGCGTGTGTATGCACATTTGGATAGCGTATGAGATGTATGTACCTTATGACTTGGTGGTCTTGGTCGGAATCTTCGCTCTTGGGGCTGCTTCCGCCGTGGCAATGGGGCGAGTTTTGTCCCCCTGACTCGCCCGAGTTCATGAGGGTGAGAGACTTTTGGTAGGATTCAAGAATCTTCTTGGCCAATTCTTCACGCGTTTCCTGTGAAGAAGAAGCCGAGTTGAGCTGAGACTGGAGCTGGTTAGCATAGTCTCTCCCTTCCGCCATCAGCTCGTTGATCATGCTCTTCATCTTCTCCCACTCCCCAAAGTTCTCCATATTACGTATTCCTTTTCAAAGATTAATGATTTAACTTAGGCTATAAAGGGATATACGAGATATATAGGTGATGTTTGGAAATTGGACTAAATGGGTAACCAGGAATGAAGATGCGGGGGCTTTCTTTGCTCAGCAGTTTTAGAACATGGGTTAATAAAAGCATGTATATGTATATGTATGTGTATATATGTGTATGTGTATGCCTATGAGTGGGCGTAGAAAGATGAAGATGATGAAGTTGCTTGTGCATGGCTTCTCAAGCTTTTGAATGAGCTTAATTTATAGAGAACGAGAGAGAGAAAGCGAGAGAGAGAGAGAGAGATGACTTTTTGACCGAGGGAAAATGCTGAGGTGGAAGTTTTGAGTGAAGACTGGTCTATGGTCAATGAGAGTGGAAAGTCCAACATGCTGACCACTTCTTCTTCTTCTCGATCCATAGTACCATGTTTCTTTATTTTATGGCTCATTTCTATTTTACTTTCCTTTTAATTATATAAAATAATATACATATATGCATTAATACATATCTTAACATAACATATACATTTCATAGACTATACTTAGCCGCGACACATAGATAATATGCGTCTCACCCACGACTATTATTTCCAAGCTTGGAATTATTAATGTCCGTAAATAGATCAATATAGAAAAGAATGATAAAAATCTTACTAATGATGTATCATATATACAACTCCGAGCCTCCAAGTATGTGTGTGTGTATATATATATATGTTAGTATATTTGCGGTGTATAAAGCAATCATACGTTATTAAATACGGTCGAATAAACAGAGACATGCCAAGAAAAAAGACCAAATATTCGCTGCCGTGTGATAAACTCTGCGATCAACGGTAAAACCCAAAGTCGTCAACTGTCAACTCTTTGAAGAATCTTCGATAACGGTTCAAACCGAGTCAAAATTAACCTCAACCGATTTCAAACCGGTCCAATACAAATCCGTTTCTTTCAAGCCCCCTGTTTCTGTGACCAAACCAGCATAACCGGTTCAGGTACTGTGAATAATAATAATAATAATAATAATAATAATAATATATTAGATTGTTTCCAAAACATACACGTGTATGATATTTTCCGTATCGATTTCGTTACACTATAATATAATTGACTCGCAGATCAGCATAGGCAGCTATACCGGAAGTAAACCGGTTATCACGAAGAATAAAACATGACCATAACAACGGTTAAACCATTTGAAATTCAAATTTTATTTCTTAACGAACGTCGAAAGGCACGATGTTTTTAATATTTTCGAAAAAACCCCCAAAGTTTGTTTCTTCCACCTCATCTTCTTCGTCCATTAGTTACAGAGGAGGAGGTACGTCCGTACGGTATGCGAGAAACCTCCATCGCAGAATCGTAGCCGAAATTCCGAAAATTGACCCAAAAAGTTTTCAATTTCCCTTTCAATTTTTGTCTCATTCGGATTTCTCCAAATGGAGGCACGTACATGCATCAGAATTCGTACAAATCATCTTCACCCATCAGGCATGGGATCGTACGTTCGTTTTCACCCACTCCAAAAGCGTGAGTTACCGGAAATTATGCGTTTCAATGTGCGCATAAAATCTCTTCATCTTCCAAAACGCTCCATTTCCGTCATCGTGGCTTCTTCGTCGCTGGAGCTCTCGAAACAGGTACAGCCCTCTCTCAGTTTCGTTTCAGTGTTGTTGCAGTGTAAATGGGGTTTTTTCCATTTGTATTCCTTGTTTCTCTGTCAAGAAAGAGTCCGAGTTATAGCTTTGTGACTCGTAGAAATGGTTATGTCCGTAGATTTCAGTGGAGTGGATGACCGTAGTTACTAATTTTGCTCCTTTTTTTTTTTTTTGTGGAAACACTATATTTTCTTCTCTTTGATCCTTTGGGTTCCTGCAATTCATCATCTTCTTCACTGATTCGCGTCATGGTGATGTTCTTCATACCTCTCTATTCTATGTTGCTGTTGTTACAGGTTTTGAGTAGATTCCGCTATGGCCTTCAGACGTAGTCTGTCAATCAGGTCCTTGTTACGTAGTCATCGCTACCGACCATCGCACAGCTGTGCCATTCCTCTCGACCATGATCATGCAAGGAAGTGTTTCCTTCAAGCTCCATTGCAACGAAGTTACCATAGTTATTTTCATCAGAGTTTCCGCAGCAATTCAGCTTTCTCTCTAAATCTGCGAGGATATTCAAATTCTCCTCCATGCCCTCCTCTGGGTTTCGCTTTGTATCGTCCTATGTCAACTGCCCACGGTGCTGGTTCAGATGAACCCGATAGCATGGATGATATGGTGGAAGCCATTACCAATTCTGCGCTGGAAAACGCAGCTTCTCAGGCTACTCTAGCCAATGAACTCGCTAAGGCAGCTAGTGATTGTACCATCCCTGTTGCTGCTGCTCAGAATTTGATTGACATGGTGCATTCTTTCACTGGCTTGAACTGGTAAGAAATTCGGAGAGATCTTGCTTTAGTGTCCATTTTTCCTCGTCTGCCCGCAAAGAGTTATGGTGAGTATAACAGTAGATATTATATTAAATGGTCTTGTTATATTTCAGTCCTTCTAGGTGGACTGAGAAGTCTTTATGGGGTTCTTGTGTTTCGAATTCGTAATTGGAACATCAAAATCAACATCGCCTTAATTCCCTGGAAGGCATGTGGTTGTAACCTGATAGACACTTTATTGGAGAACATATTTTGTTAGGTTAACTACGGTTTAGCTACTGTTTAGTTCTATTTTCATTTTCCCGCTTCCTTTCTTTTTGAACTTCTTTTCATTTTTGGAATACACAGAAAACTTGTCCCAAATCTGTTTGTGTTTTCTCTCTACCATTTCGAAATGGTATCAGAGCTCAAACACGATTCAAATATTTGATTCATAGTTTTTTCTCTTTCGATTGATATCTATTTGGAATCTCCTTCAATGTTTGTTGATATGAAATGAGAAATGAGGATGCTTTGTTACGATCTTGGACTTTGTGTATTCATATTGTTTTGGAACGATCACAATTTTCACAGGTGGGCTTCCATTGTCCTGACAACACTTCTGATTCAAGGAGTAGCAGTCCCACTCGTGGTTGGTAGCCTCAGAATCATTTTACACAAAATGGTATGAAAAGGAATGGTCTCGCTTTTAAACAGTGTTTCTTTAAAGCCATCTTATTGGCTGAGAAGGAAAACCCTTTTTTTTATAGGTCATCATAAGCCAGAAGACTTGTTTTGTTCTAGTTACATTAAAGGCCCTCCGAAAACTTGTGTCTGAATGTTTAATTGTCATGTAATACATGCATGTGCATACACATTTTCTATGTGTGTCTGTGTTCTGGGTACTTTTGTGGATGGGTGGTTAAGCTGTTCTGTCTTAGTGGATATGTTTATTTATAATGGAATAGCATATTTCATTGTTCAGTTAAATTAATTTTGCATCTTTTGTGGTGTTTACAAGCTTGTTCTCTGCTCTTTTGCCGTATACTTTTTCTCATTTGTAGACATTCTGTGATCATGCAGATAGTTGTGGTACTACAAGCTTTGCTACTTTGAGTCTTAAGACTTGAAACAAAGCTTCTTTACCTGGATATTAGCTTTGACTTCTTCATCTTCCTCTCTTGTTTTCTTTTATTCCTTTTAAACCAGGGCATGGATCCAGCTCCTGTTGCTGAAAGCGCAGGAAGTGCAAATGGTGTGCTTCAGAGGTAAGCATCTTTTACTTGCATTAGGAGGAGGGAAACACAGAAGGATGACTCGAGGAACTGTTTATCAGTCTCCTTGGGTTATTCTTTTAGTTTCTTCGGCACTAATACATATAAAACTGGTGCTAGTCCGGATTCCATGATATGTATTAGTTACTTGGCAACATCTCATACATCATGGTTATGAATAAGTTCTTCTGCAAAACTGCCTGTTGTTGAATTTTTTGCTTGTATGCCTCTGACAGTCAAGTTTATTAGGTTAGCTCAAACTTGCATCAGGCCTCTTTCATGTTTTCATGTTGTATTTTCTCATATATCATACCTAATCTTGGAAACACTTTTTTTTTTGCCTGAGGTTATATACTCCTGGAGGAGTTTGTCGTCTCAGTACCCTTTTCATCCCCATTGTAGTGCCGATCGAGTATACTGCTCTGGCTGCCATGTCAAAAGCTGTAAGAACATTTTTCGTCCGATCCGAGCATCTATTTTGGCAAGTGTGTCTCTGATTGTGAGCACCAACCGCTTTCTCTTCCAGACTTATGATATGGCAGGGAATATATCTTCCTTCAAAACCGGTGGTGCATTATGGTTCACTGATCTCACAACTATGGATGCTTCAGGCATCTTTCCAGTTTTATTGGGATTGACTCTGTTAATTGATGTAGAGGTACTGTTTTGCTCGATTTGACAGTTGGGGGAAATCCAAGATCTTGATGATACATTTCCTCATGGTTTCCCTTAAAATTTAGTCTTTCCAGCGTGTGATGAAAGGCCAGCGTGCGATGAAAGGCTTTGAACAGTTCCTGCCATTTCGTCAGGGTCCCAACGTGGTCCGGTGTTTGGCTATTCTCATGGCTATATGTTCGATATCGGCGGCAAAGGTGATGTTAATAATCTTCATGAAAGAAAAGGATGTCAAATCTCAAAAGTGTATTTCATATATGGTTTTACATGAAGTGCAGGCCACACATTGCTTCTGGATTACCTGGGCTCTCTTCTCTCTTATCAGTTCACATGGTAATAACAGCGACTGTGTATTCTAAACTCTCCATCACTTTCTAGCTCTACCAATCTGACGTTCTGCTTGCGTGAATTCTTTTGATGCAGTGCTTAAGCGTCCGGGAATCAAGAAGTTTTTGGGCATCCCGGTGGTATCTGGCATCTGTGCTGAAACCCAACGCCGGTTATTTTGGTTTGGTGTAATCGAGACGGGTTTAGTTCTTTTATTTGTATTTTGATTTCGAGATTTCTTTCGGAACGGTCAAATGTAGCTGTCACTCTCTAATGCAAACACTTGAAAAAAAGATTGAGGTGAGCATTCTCCCACAAGATTTTTCCACGACCCTCCTTCGCAGAGTGGTAGCTGAAATTCCAATACTTTCCCCAAAGGTTTTTCAATTTCCCTTTCAGTTTTTGTCCGAGAACAGGCATGTACGTGGTGATCATCAGAATCCGTACAAATAACCTTCGAGCATCATAGTGCATACAAAATCACTTCCTCTTTGAAATAGTTGTCCGTAGATTTCAGAAGAGTGGATGACCTTATTTTCTTCTCTTTGATTTCCAGGTTCCTGCAGTTCATCATCTTCATCACTGATTCAGGTAATGCTGATGTTCTTGGTTTTGAGTAGATTCTGCTATGGACTTCAGACATAGTTTGTCAATCAGGTCCTTGTATTGTGGGTCGTTACCGACCATCACACAGCTCTGCCATTCCTCTCGACGATGATCATGGAAGGAAGTGTTTCTTTCAAGCTCCACTGCGACAGAGTTACCACAGTTCTTTTCATCAGAGATTCTGCAGCAATTCAGTTTTCTCTCAAAATATGAGAGGATGTTCAAATGCTCCTCTATCCCCTCCTCTGGGTTTCGCTTTGTCAACTGCCTGCGGTACTGATTCAGATGAACCCGATGACATGGATGACATGGCGGAAGCCATTACCAGTTCTACGCTGGAAAACGCAGCTTCTCATGCTACTCTAGCCAACGAACTCGCTGAGGCAGCTAGTGATTGTACCATCCCTGTTGCAGCTGCTCAGAATTTGATTGACATGGTGCATTCCACTCTCCTCCTCTCGGTGAGTTCTTTAGTGTGATTTCTCATCCTCTCTCCCACTTCACTCTCGTCTATGTTAATGATGATGATGACGATGGTTGCAGTCTCGAGGCGTCCTCGAGTGATGAAGTATTTGGATGCTCCTTATATTCCCCAATATATCCCGTTAACGCACTCTTTTAAGATAACGGAGCTACTGAAGATAATAGTGAATGAATATGAGGAAGTAGTGGCATTACACTTGCTTGTATCACAAGTTATGTGAGGAGTGAGTCTTCATTGGACGTTTCTTCTTCGGACAAACTGAAACATCTTATCATCATTTGCAACTCTGGTTTCTAGACAGATATGAAATATGTATGGTCTTTGCTCTCTCTCTCTCTCCCCTCACCTCTCTCTCTCTCTCTCTATATATATATATATATATATAATGGTCAACAACCTCATCATTCAGTTTCCCGCCAAAATCAAATATATGATTATGGGCTTTTCATCCATCGTGCCAATATAACGATGGACTTGCTTCAAAAGGATCTGAGTATTGGGTATATCATTATCGGCCGGGCGAGATGATGGACGAAACATGAATGATACACGCGTAACGTAAGAACCAATCGCTACAGCTGGTAATCTTTGTGGAAATGGGAACTAGAATTTAGTTTTAGATTTTTCAACATAATTAAATAAGAGTAAAACTGTAATTTGATTAATGTCACGTGCTAATTATCCGATTCGAAAAATTATTATCAGAATCCAAATTTGGGATGTTTCTAAAATCACTGTTCAATCGGGTATGCGTCGCGGGCGGGATTGGGTACCCAAATTTAGGGTTTCTTTTTTTTTTTTTTTTCCAAATTCTGGGTACGGGCAACAAACCTCCCTCAGAGAATCGTAACCGAAATTCCGAAAATTGCTCCAAAAATCTTTCAATTTTTGTCGCTTTCGAATTTCTCCAAGCGCACATGGTGATCATCAGATTTCGTACAAATCATCTTCAAGAATCATTGTGGGCACAAAATCTCTTCATTGTGCTCACAAAATCTTTTCGTCCTGCGAAACGCTGCGTTTTCGCCCTCTTGGCTTCTCCGTCGCTGGAGCTTTCGAAACAGGTACGGGTCTCTTTCTCCTGTTCTCTCAGTTTCGTTTCGGTGTCGTTGCAGTGTAAATGGGGGTTTTGGCCTTTGTATCAGTGTCTCTCTCTCAAGCAAGAGTCCGAGTTAGGGTTTATAGGCTTTGTGACTCGTAGAAATTGTTATGTCCGTAATTTCAGTGAACTGGATGACCGTAGTTACTGTTTTGCTTCTTTTTTTTTGTGTGTGTGTGGAAACACTATATTTTTTTCTCATTGATTTTTGGGTTCCTGCAATTCATCATCTTCTTCACTGATTCGCGTGATGCTGCTGTTCTTCGTACTCTCTATTCTATGTTGCTGCTGTTACAGGTTTTGAGTAGATTCCGCTATGGCCTTCAGACGTAGCTTGGCAATCAGGTCCTTGTTACGTAGTCATCGCTACCGGCCATCGCACAGCTGTGCCATTCCTCTCGACGATGATCATGGAAGGAAGTGTTTCCTTCAAGCTCCATGGCAACGAAGTTACCATAGTTCGTTTCAACGGTGTTTCTGCAGCAATTCAGTTTTTTCTCGAAATCTGAGAGGATATTCAAATTCTCCTCTATCCTCTCCTCTGGGTTTCGCTTTGTATCGTCCTATGTCAACTGCCCATGGTGCTGGTTCAGATGAACCCGATGGCATGAATGACATGGCGGAAGCCATTACCAGTTCTACACTGGAAAACGCAGCTTCTCATGCTACTCTGGCCAACGAACTCGCTGAGGCAGCTAGTGATTGTACCATCCCTGTTGCAGCTGCTCAGAATTTGATTGACATGGTGCATTCTTTCACTGGTTTGAACTGGTAAGAATTCTGAAGAGGTCTTACTGTAGAGTTTGTGTTTCTTGTTGTCTGCCTGCAAAGGGTTGATGGTGAGTAACAGTAGACATTAGCCTAAATGGCGTTTTGATGGCTCAAAAAAATTTAGGGCTTGTTATCTGTCAGAAATTTTAGACTTAGAAATATGAAACAGCCAGTTGCCAGTGACTAAAGTCGTGGATGAAGAAGTTAGCATCTGTATGAAAACCCCTTCCCTCGAAGGCATGTGGTTATAACCTGATAGACAATTAATTTCTGCTTGGAATCTCCTTCAAGTTTGTTGGTATGAAATGGTCTTGACGTGTATTCTGTCAAAAGTTAGAAATGAGGATGCTTTGTTACGATCTTGGACTTTGTGTATTCATATTGTTTTGGAACGATCACAATTTTCACAGGTGGGCTTCCATTGTCCTGACAACACTTTTGATACGAGGAGTGACAATCCCACTCATGATTGGTAACCTCAGACTCATTTCGTACAAAATGGTATGAAAAGGAAAGCTCTCTCTTTTTAAACAGTGTTTCCTTAAAGCCATCTTATATGCTGAGAAGGAAAAAACCCTTTTTTTGGAGAAACTAGCAGTTCTTTGTTTAGGTCATAGTAAGCCATAAGACTTGTTTTGTTCTAGTTACGTTAAAGGGCAACTCAAAACTTGTGTTTGAATGACACCTTCTGAGTTCTGAGTGGTATCAATTGTCATGTAAATGTAATACATGCATGTGCATACGCATTTTCTATGTGTGTGTATGTTCTGGGTACTTTTGTGGATGGGTGGTTGAGTTGTTCTGTCTTAATGGATATGTTTTATTTATAATGGAATAGCAGATTTCATTGTTCAGTTAAATTAATTTTGCATCTTTTGGGGTGTTTACCTACTTATTGTCTGCTCTTTTCTTTTGTCGTATAGTTTTTCTCATTTGTAGTCATTCTGTGGTCATGCAGATAGTTGCAATACGCAAGCTACCTGACTCAGAGATTCGAACCATGGTACTTTAACGTTGCTACTTCGAAAGTGCCCATTTGCTGATATTTGAACCATAGGACTTGAAAAAAAGCTTCTTTACCTGGATATTAGCTTTGACTTCTTCATCTTCCTCTCTTGTTTTCTTTTATTCCTTTTAAACCAGGGCATGGATCCAGTTACTGTTACCGAAAACGCTAGAAGGGCAAATGATGTGCTTCAGAAGTAAGGATCTTTTACGTGCATTAGGAGGAGGGGAACACGGAAGGATGACTTGAGGAACTGTTTATCAGTCTCCTTGGGTTATTCTTTTAGCTTCTTCAGCATTAATACATATAAAACTGCTGTGTTAGTCCATATTCCATGATACGTATTAGTTACCGGGCAACATCTCATACACCATGGTTATGAATAAGTCCTTCTCCAAAACTGTCTGTAGCTGAATCTCTTGCTTGTATGCCTCGACAGTCTATTTATTAGTTTAGCTCAGCTGCATCAGACCTCGTTCATGTTTGTTTTGTATTTTCTCATATATCAGACCTAAGATTTGAGACACTTGTTTTTTGGCTGAGGTTATATACTCTTGGAGGAGTTTGTCATCTCAGAACCCTTCTCATTCCCATTCAATTGCTGATCCAGTATCCTGCTCTGATTGCCATGTCACTAGCTGTAAGAACATTTTTCTGTCCGAGCATCTATTTTGGCAAGTGTGTCTCTGATTGTGATCACCGACCGCTTTCTCTTCCCAGACTTATGCTATGGCAGGGAATATATCATCCTTCAAAACCGGTGGTGCATTATGGTTCACTGATCTCGCAACTATGGATGCTTCAGGCATTCTTCCAGTTCTATCAGGATTGACTGTCTTCATTGCTGCAGAGGTACTGTTTTTTTTTTCGATTCGACAGTTGAGGGAAAAAAATCCAAGATCTTGATGATACATTTCCTCATGGTTTCCCTTGAATTTTAATCTTCTCAGTTTGGTGCGATAAAAGGCTTTGAAGGGTTCCCGCGGCTTTGTCTAGCCGGTGACATGGGCCGGTGTTTGGCGATTCTCGTAGCTATAGGGTCGATGACGTTGCCAAAGGTGATGTTAATCTTCATGAAAAAAAGGGATATCAAATCTCAAAAGCATATTTCATATATTGATTTTACATGAGGTGCAGGCCGTACATTGCGTCTGGATTACCTCGGCTCTCTTCTCTCTTATCAGTTCATGTGGTAACAATAGCGAATAAGTGTGTATTCTAAACTCTCCATCACTTTCTAGCTCTACCAGTCTGATGTTCTTCTTGCGTTAATTCTTTTGCTGCAGTGCTTGAGCGTCCTGGAATCAAGAGGTTTTTGGGCATTCCGGTGGTATCCGGCGTCTATGCTGGAATCGAACGCGGTTTGTTTTGGTTTAGTTTAACTGGGTTCGGTTTAGTTTGTTTACTTGTATTTTGATTTTCATATTTCTTTGGGAAGGTTAAAGACTTTCTAATGAAACTGGAGTCTTCATTGGACGTTTCTTCTTCGGACAAACTGAAACATCTTATCATCATTTGCAACTCTGGTTTCCATACAGATTTGAAATATGCATGGTCTCTCCCCTCACCTCTCTCTCTCTCTCTCTCTATATATATATATATATATAAATGAGCTTAGAGGCCATAGACAAAAGCTCACACGTCACATCCCTCTCAGGATGAATAATCATCCAACATCAAGAACTGCTCACGGCTTTTGTCTGCTACTAGTCCTTTCCGAGATCGCAAATCCTCGATTAAATCTAATTAATCCTCAAACTAATCAGGGTTTAGACAAATGCTTAATCATCGTTCCACTCGCACTCCCTCGGTTGGCCTTCCTTGTCATACGCGCACTTGTCCACCCACTTGCTTAATCACATTGATTTTGTGTTCATATCCTTTCTCGAAATCCTTAATACGTCACTAATTTTAAGGCTTTAGACATTTATTAATCCATCGAAACACCTTATGGCTCTCGCCCGTAGTGAGTGATTACAAAAAATGATTTTAATCAAATATTTGATTATTTTGGATAATTTGAATGTTCTGAAAATGTTTGAATGGAGCGATTATAATGGTTGATAATAATATTCTGATGATAACATCATTTCATTGGATTCTGACTATTAACTTTTCGTGAACCTCTTTATTATCAAAAAAAAAAAAAAAAAAAAACTCTACGTTTTTTTTTTTTTATCGTATTCTCTTTCCATAGACTAGTCAAATCGAGAATACTAGAATAGACATACTAGTCAAATCGAGAATACTAGAATAGACATAATTAATCTATTTTGGACATACATTGTAAAAAATGTATGTCGTATTTGAGAACCAATATATTATAATTATACCCGAAAAGGACCATGCATGTCTATTTAATTCAAGTATCTTTTTCTATAGCTCCTAAAGATAAAAATGGAAAAAATACATACATATACATGCATATATATATTTGGTATAACAGTCGTGGCCCGTGGGAATAGTTTCAGTAAAAAGCATAAAAACAAAGTTTAAAAAACGAAAAGAAGAAAAATAATCGGGAAAGAATAAGATCCGTATCCATATTTTTTTTTGGTCGTGTTTCCATATCTATAAATGACGGGTGGACGAACAATTCGATTCGGTTTAGATATAGAGTATACTGGATATTGATAGGTAATAATATATGGATGGATAAACAGTTAAATTTGTTTTATTCGGTGTAGTTTACAGATAATTCGGATTTTAAACATTAATAACCAAATTAGTATTTGATTTCAATTGGTTCCATTATAGTATTGTCAAATATCAATATCATGAGGTTCTAAAGCTCCTTACGTCACAAATGGAGACAGTGGTTGGATTCTCCATAGATTCCAGGATCCACTAGACATATATCATGTATGTTGTCTCATGAGTCATGTTTAAGGGATTTCTAGGGTTTTATATATAATATGCACTCGAACATGAACACACATTTGAATACAAATATTTTATTGCCTCACCTTTTTTTGTCTCTAGAATCAATCATGGCATCGAATATTTCGTGAGATCACCTCTACAGTATCCGCACACACACATATACATATACATACACACACATATATATACATACATACATACATACATACATACATACATATACACACACACCACACCACAGACAAGAAAATTATGCAATTCTGATTTGGCAGCCGATTAGTGCGCTTCCGTCGCATCCTCCACTCCAAATATTCTAATGATTATTACTGTTATTATTATTATTATTTGGTGATATATTATATTTCCTCCACTCGAATTATATGTCTTATCCAAACTTGTAATTCCACTATGCACGACATATATATATATATATATATGTCTATATATATATATATATGTCTATATATAACCATAGACACACAACCCATAGGCACATACATAACTAGTTACGCAAACCTCTTCGATTCTTTGGAACTATGGAAGAAAGGTTGCGCTTAGCCTTTGGAATTTTGGGTATGACAAAAAAAAAAAAATCTCCCTCCCCCCTCTCTCTCTCTCCCCATTCGAATGCTCCACATGTTTTGTGTTACTCGTATATATATATATATATGTATGTATATGTAGCTAATGATCAAACACCATGTATTGATTGTTCCTTCATTGAAAATAGATGTTACACTCGTACGAAGTTTACTATGTTATATACATATATATATATATAGTGTTATATCGTTCTCACGTTGTGATGCGGGTTTTGTTTTGTCCTCTGCAGCGAATGCGGCGTCGTTGATGCTCTATTCATCACCCGTGTATGTCACTCCACTCTTACATGGTTTCTGATATTTGTTTTTGCTGATTCTCGTCAACAAAAAAAAATTAAAATGAAATTGTGAAATTAATACACATAATACGTTGCGTCACTTTTTACGTGTGTATTAAGTATATATATCTATGCATTGAGTACATCTTCAATATGAATACAAGAAAACTGGATTTACACCCACCGTTATGGAAATTCGTTATAGAAAATGTGGTAATTTGGATCGACGCAAGATTCCATAATCCGATTGCATCTCGACACGTACATATATAGCAGCAAACGTATGCATGAAAACTACAGAACTTTCATTTCTTTGTTGTACTTCATATTAGGGTTTCCACATATCTCTAAGTTAGCGTGATTGTAATTTGATACATATATAAACAGATTAACGTTCATAAAGATGATAAAGAAGAGGAGCACGGGAGATTTCTCGTGCATACCGTACATAGTGACGATGATGACGTGTCTGCTCTGGATGTGGTACGGTCTTCCGGTCGTCAGCCGTGGCTTGGAAAATCTCTCTCTCATCACCATCGGTTGCATTGGCTTTACTCTCGAGCTCTCCTTCGTCTCCATCTTCTTCTCTCTCGCCTCCTCTCGTGCCAGAGTACGTCTATACGTACCCCATATTCTGATCATTATCCGATTCCTATTACAAGAATCACGACATATTGATGATATGTATCATATCTTTATATACATGTATATATACAGATTCAGATAATATTGACGGTGGTGCCACTGCTGTTGCTGGCATGCGGCATTGGGGCGATCACGACGTTTGCGTTCCACGATCACCGCCTTCGCAAGGCGTTTGTAGGCAGCATCGGCGACGCGGTCTGCGTCGCTATGTATGCTTCTCCACTGGTCGCCATTGTGAGTCATCGGTTCACATTAATACTTAAATTCAACCCTATCCTTTGTAATTAAACCAAACTAAACCGGTCTATAATTATAAGCCAAGATATCATGCATGCATGTTATATATATATACACACACTTATGTGGCATGTGTTACTGTACAGAGGCAAGTGGTGAGGACGAAGAGCGTGGAGTTCATGCCATTGCACCTATCAGTCTTCACTTTCCTCACAAGCTTCACTTGGATGCTTTATGGATTACTCAGCAAAGATCTCTTCATTGCGGTAATCGTTAATTTTAATTTTGTTATTATGTTTATGTTTTTATACCTTATTAATGCAAGTTTAGTAATTTTGAACAACTTAAAAATTGTCAATAAATGAAAATGCATATGGAAAATCTGTCCATTTATTGTTATATATATCCCTAACATTTAAATTGTTGACTTTTTATTTTATTTTAATGATCACAGGCTCCGAATTTCATAGGTTGTCCTCTCGGCATTAAGGGCAACTCAAAACTTGTGTTTGAATGACACCTTCTGAGTTCTGAGTGGTATCAATTGTCATGTAAATGTAATACATGCATGTGCATACGCATTTTCTATGTGTGTGTATGTTCTGGGTACTTTTGTGGATGGGTGGTTGAGTTGTTCTGTCTTAATGGATATGTTTTATTTATAATGGAATAGCAGATTTCATTGTTCAGTTAAATTAATTTGGAAATGTGACGAGGATAATACAACCGAGAAACCAAACGATAACGATTGCAACGGTAACGGTAATAAATTAGAAAATATCCCATGATGTACGGATAATTAATGTATTTGTACGGATTGGTACCGACCAATTTAAATTTCTAGTCACGTGTTCTTATTTACAAGAGAGCAAGATTGTAAACCCTGCACGTCAATAAATTTCCGTGTACGAATCAAATATTTTGGAGTTGATAAAATGGTTGTGTTTCAATTATTTTTATTTAACTTTTTAGATGTTGAATATATATATATATATATATTGATTGTTAAATAAGATTCGATTTGCGTGCTAATCGACATTGTTCCATTCACCCCCTACCAAAATTTCGATCCACAGTTATATGTTTACGAATCAGAGCATATACCCCCAAAGGTTTCCGGATCGTGGTGTTGTCACATTCACGATCGAGAACATTTACCTATAGAGACTGTCTCTTTCGTCTCTTCTTTTGTTATTAAATAAAAAATTATAGAAGAAACAAATATTTATTCAAAGGAAATGATACTTCTTCTTCGTTTCTATTAGATTTAAAAATCGGGACATAATTATATATATATATATATATATATATATGTTACTGAAGGATATTAGAATATCATTCTTATGAAAAATTCAGAAATGGTTTGAAAAGTTTTTTGCTATTCAGTTACCCAAGAAAAAAAGATTTTTGCTATTTTCCAAGGAATTAAAAAACGTATCATATATTAATACTTAGCCATAGATCGGAAAAATATGATTCTTGTTTATTGATCGTTTGTTTTTGGGGGAAAGTACTATTCTTTGTAATAAATTTGATGTATATAAGAATATTTTATGCTCCTTTTTACTTTAAAAAATGTAGACTATCTATCTTGAGCTATTTCTTCGGCAGGTACAAAATGATAAATCTAAATCTACCGAACCATTTGTGCAATTAAGTCAAAATAAGTGGGAGAATGCCAATATACCAAAACTTGTATTTTCCAGAAAGATCCAACGGTAACAAACTGTTCCGTGAAAGATCAACGGGGATGGAAATGTACACATCAGATAGTGTTATTAACTAATTACACAGTAGGGGAACCCGAGAAGGCGAGAAGTCAGGAAAAAAAATATTTCCAAACAGAAATATTATCCAAATACACTGTAAAAAGTATTTGAATAATGACTCGTTATTATATAAATAATAAATTATTTCAAGACAGTCAAACGAAACAAAAACCACTCGCCGTTTTTACAAAGTCAAGATGCCACGTACCCAAATATTAGCACCCCATGCACGAAGCCACGTTCGTAAAACACACTCTCTCTCTCTTCTTTCTCTCTCTTCTCTCTTCTCTCCCGTTCGTTCAGAAGACGAGAGACTCTTCAGATATGGTGAAGCTTGCGACGGCGCGGGAGATTAGGACATACGGTCCTCGGCTGGGGAGACAACGTGCGGAGTACATCAACGCCGGGCTCTATGTTTTCTCCACCGTCGTTCTCATCGGAGGCTTCATCGCCGCCGGATTCTCGTTGGAGCCAAGATCCGGCCTCGTCCTTATTCTCTTCGCTCTCGCTATCATCTCGGTGGTGAACGCCCATGATCTCTTCGCTCATCTCGCCGGAATCGATTACCGGTATTCTCAATGATCATGAATTTGTCTTTGTAATCATAGACCGTACCAGTTTCTGTCGTGACAACGATGTCATATATATGTGATTTGTGTTGGTATTAACTCATATTCAAATGGGTTTAGTTTCATTACATAGTTTAGGATGGGAACAATCGTTGAGTTTTGGGGCATATTGCTTAATTATGAGATTTCAGGCTAAGGTTGATGGAGTATGATCTGCAACTTGCTCTCGTGGAGTTTGCCGTTCCTCTGTTTCACATTGCCGGTTCCATTGTTTTCTTCTTGGGGATCTTCTTCGTTTTCTATCAGGTAATTTTCATCTCAATCTGTAATATCCATGATAGGATAGACTTGAGTTTATGTTGTAATATGTACATTTTGATAAGTATTCAGGCAGAGACAAAACGCGGCGATGGACAGGAGAAGCACGCGCTGAACATGCTTATAGCTGGCCCCGTATTGTGGATGATAGGTTCGGTCCACAACTCGTGCCAAATCTACGAGAGAGCCGATGGGCATGTCCAGATTCTGCAGCAGTGTGTTCATATCCCTTTCTTGGTTGGATCTGTCCTGTTTCTTGTCGCTGCCATTCTCAACACCCGCGAGCAATCCGCCTCGCACCACCGTGGATTGAAGTTGCTCGTAAGTACATATATTCGAAAACGTCTCTATACGCTTTGCTGAAGATAATGAAGTTTCATTGACGTAGAAGCAGCATATAAAGTTAAGTGAGAAAATGGTGCAGGGGAAGACATGGGTGTGGCTTGGCATGTCGGGAGGCATATGTTTCTTCCTCGGAGGGTTGATGAACGTCATTAAGGTTTTCAACTTCGTACAGATCATCGGACTCCGGCTCGAGAAGCTAAGGGGCGGAGCACAAGACCGTCTTCTCGAAGAAAGAGAAGGCTACCATCCTCTCGTCGTCGAAGAAGAAAGGATAAGAAAGATGGAAGAAGAAACCAAAGCGGCTCCTTTGGCAGCATCCACGTCTGCTGCTGCCGCCCCACGGACGGGGACAAATTCGTACAAGGATGTTCTTGTCGGACAGAGCTGAGAGAGTGAAAAGGTTGAGTCTTTGACCACACGCAATTTCATATGTTTATTAGTCATACGTGCTTTTCTGTACTTTGATATTTCATTTTATATCATCATCACATTCACATGTCTGAGACCGACGATTTGGAGGTGCATATCCCGTTCGATTTCAATTTGTTGCAAATCAGATCAATACATGCAAAAATGTGTATATAAACATAAAAACAAAGGAACCTTTAGCAAGAGAATCTTATTTCTTAAACGTTTTCTTGGATAGAAAATCCCAGATTTTCCAGGAAATTTTGGCAAGAGTCTCGAGGAGACGAGTGGGCAAATAAAATGCAAGGTTCAATAAGAAAAAATAAATAAATAAAATTTCTTAGTGGGGCCTAGTAACGAACCCAACACAATTTTATTTATCAGCTTATCCGTTTGAAAAAAAAAAAAATCTCTCCTTTTACCTTCTTCAGATAAAAACCTCATCGTCTTCGGTCATCTCAATGTTTCCATGGCTGCTCTTGCTTTCAACCAAATCCCGACTAGTTTTCCACATCCAATCTCGGAAAAGGCTGCCAACATTTCGCAAACCAAACTATTGAAACCTCCCGAGAATCATCACCACACATCTTACTTTCACCGCGTTTCGTCTTTCTGCAAAAATGGTCTGGTCCAAGAAGCTGTGGATTTGGTCACAGAGATGGGTTTTAGAAACCTTCGCATTGGGCCTGAAATATTCGGCGAACTCCTCCAGGGATGCGTTTACGAGCGAGCACTGCGAACGGGTCAGCAAATCCATGCTCGGATTCTCAAGAACGGCGATTTCTACTCTAGGAATGAGTACATCGAGACAAAACTGGTAATATTTTACGCGAAATGTGATGTTCTTGAGGTTGCGGAAGCTCTTTTCTCGAAATTGAGGGTCCGAAATGTGTTTTCTTGGGCAGCCATTATCGGGTTGAAGTGCAGGCTTGGTCTTGCCGTAGAAGCCTTGATGGGTTTTGTCGAAATGTTAGAAAATGGGATTCTTCCGGACAATTTCGTGTTTCCAAATGCTTGTAAGGCGTGTGGTGCTTTGCAATGGACTCGAATTGGCAGAGGCGTTCATGGGTATGTGGTGAAACTAGCTCTTGACGATTGTGTGTTTGTGGCGAGCAGTTTGACCGATATGTACGGGAAATGCGGTGCTTTGAATGATGCTAGATACGTGTTCGATGATATGTCTGAGAGAAATGTGATTGCCTGGAACACGATGATGGTGGTTTATGTCCAAAATGGCATGAACGAGGAAGTGATTCGGCTTTTTGGTGATATGAGAAGGGAAGGTGTCGAGCCAACTCGTGTCACTATCTCCAGTTTCTTGTCTGCTTCGGCCAATTTGGAAGGCATGGAAGAGGGAATGCAGTGTCATGCTGTTGCCATTGTTAATGGCTTGGAACTGGATAACATTCTGGGCACTTCCATCTTGAACTTCTACTGCAAAGTTGGTTTGATCGAGTATGCTGAGATGATCTTCCAGAGAATGGTTGGAAAAGATGTGGTAACGTGGAATTTGCTTATTTCAGGGCACGTGAAACATGGACTCGTCGAAAATGCAATTCATATGTGCAAATTGATGAGGTTAGAGGCTTTAAGATTCGACTGTGTTACTTTGGCATCACTAATGGTAGCAGCAGCTTGTACTAGGAACTTCAAACTTGGAAAAGAAGCTCACTGTTACTGCATCAGAAACAATCTTGAATCTGATGCGGTTTTAGCGAGCACTGCAGTGGATATGTATTCCAAATGTGACAGAGTCATGGATGCGAGAAAAGTGTTCGATTCCACGATACAGAGAGATCTCGTGCTATGGAATACCTTACTGGCAGCTTATGCAGAGTTGGGTCATAGTGGAGAGGCTTTGAGGTTGTTTTATAAGATGCAATTAGAGAGCGTGCCTCCGAATGTAGCATCGTGGAATTCAGTCCTCCTGGGTTTTCTCAGGAATGGTCAAACGGATGAGGCGGAGAACTTGTTCTTGCAGATGGAATCATCGGGGGTAAACCCTAATACAGTCACATGGACTACTATGATGAGTGGTTTGGTACAAAATGGATGCAGTGAGGAGGCGATACTGTTTCTCGGAAAAATGCAAGAAGCCGGGGTGAGACCAAACGCCTTCAGTATCACTATTGCTCTTTCAGCTTGCGCGAATGTAGCGTCATTACGTC